CTTTGATGTGATGATATTTGAATGATTAGAGTAAAGTAGAGATTTGTCTTTCTTACATTCATTTGTCTTACAAACCACACCAACAAGAAGTTTATTCGAGCACCTTGAAGGGACCTTCCACCATCCTGAGTGAGCACACTCTGCTATCGACTTTTCTCTACCTCTGCATCCCACATCGTACATGAGCCCTCTTCTTGGTGTTCCTCCTTCAATGTAGCGAATTGCGTGTTTAGATGCTTTGTAACCAAGCATTCGGCAGATCACGTGAGCATCTCGTATATCCCACCACCTATACCACCAATAATCACACACTACTCCCCAGATCCCTTGATACTGGATTTCTACTTTACCAGTATGGTTTTGATCTCCCACTAAACGAACTTTGATCGTTTTCTCCTCTGAAACAAATATTGTTCAATAAACAAACAACATTAGTCACAATCCTTACATTGCTTGATTTAATATTCAGAAAGTAAAGGTAACAATATATATTGATAGCTATTCTAATCAGCGTTGTCACAAAAATTAACTTGAATATTTGAAAAAAATAGCAAGGAACTAATGCAATAATTTTCAGTTGTTGATTATAAAATATTGTTTCTTGACATGACTGAATAAAGATAAACAAAGATCATATGGACGTCTTGTTTTGTAACTTATCTAGTTGTACCTGGTGTCAGATTGCCACATACCACTCCAGCATCGCGGCTGTGATCACATCCACTAGTGCTACCCCAGCCACCATGACGACACTGGTCAACAGTTTCTTCGTATCCTAAGCAACGAAGCCCTTTAAGCCATATAGGACCAGTTCCTTTGACGCTAGCAGTTGTTGCTGTAACTGCCTTGGAGTAGTTCAACATGTGACACACCACGTAAGCATCCCATATGCCCCAGTGTATATCATTGCATATGGTACCCCAAGTACCTTTGTATCTTACTTCTACACGTCCCTCGTTAGTAGTCTTACCGTCCACTAGACGAACATTGACGTTTATTGCATTGCCACATACCACTCCAGCATCACGGCTGTGATCACATCCACCAGTTTTACCCCAGCCATAATGCCAACACTGATCAATAGATTCTTGGGATCCGGTGCAATAAAGCCTTTTAAGCCATATAGGACCAGTTCCTTTGACGCTGGTAGTCGTTGCTGTAACTGCCTTGGAGTAATTCAACATGTGACATATCACGTAAGCATCACGTATGTCCCAGTAAGCATCATTGCATATGGTACCCCAAGTACCTTTGTATCTTACTTCAACACGTCCCTCGTTAGGAGTCTTTCCATCCACTAGACGAACAGCTACCTTTGGCTTTGCTTCTGTAACAAACAGAAACGTGCTAGCTTAAGAATCTTTCTGTTTTCATTTTTAAGTGAGGTTTAAATCATGTATAGTTGTTTTTAATTCTAACTTGGAGTACGCTACGTTTACCGACTTTGACTATCGTCTACATTACGCCAGACAGTATTAATAGACACTTTTTGATTGGCCGTAATGTTTGCTTGTTTTAAATCATGTCATTTTTTTGGGAATAAGATTATTTACTTGACTGTACCGTCCCATGTTTATGTGTACATGTATTCTCATACGCAAACGTTATAAGGAAATTTGGTATAAAAAAAAGATGGGAAATTCATAATGAAAACACGTATTTGGATAAAAACTTCAAATCTACTTTGCACTCAATTCAAAGACTCACCGAATGTTTCATGGTGACGGCAAATTTAAGCCAAGATTTGCAAGTTGTTAATATACAACCATAAATATTGCTATGGAATGCGCCATTTTCTCTGCCAGGTAAACTGATGGCTTTTTTAATTTGAAGGTTAAGTAAGTTTTATAAAATGCAGTTTTATCGGTCTTGTTATTCCTGCTGGATAGTTTACGGCCACATTATGCTTTCCGTGAGATTTCAAAATTTGCGATGGCTACCAGATGAACGACCGAAAAGTCAATAATGTTACAATTACGATCTCTCTGAAAAATACAGCTACTTAATTGCTATGGAATGAAAGTAAGAAAACTTTGGTAAACTTTTGAGCACTTTTGCA